GAGGAGGTATTCGCTGAAATTTTCAAATCCAAAATTTTCGCAAAAGTATCAGGAGAATAGGAGATCCAAGGAGCTATTCACTGAAATTTTCAAATGCGAAATTTTAGAAAAAGTATCAGGAGAATAGGAGATCAGAGGAGGTATTCACTGAAATTGAAAACTTCGAAATTTTTGAAAAAGTATCAGGAGAACATGACCGTCGAGGAGCTATTCACTGAAATTGGAAAATTTGAAATTTTCTAAAAAGTATCAGGGTAACATGAACATGGAGGGAGTATTCACTGAAATTGAAAAATTTTAAATTTTCTAAAAAGTATCAGGGTAACATGAACATCGCGGAGATATTCACTGAAATTCAAAAATTTTAAATTTTCTAAAAAGTATCAGGGTAACATGAACATCGCGGAGATATTCACTGAAATTGAAAAATTTTAAATTTTCAAAAAGTATCAGGGTAACATAAACATCGCGGAGATATTCACTGAAATTCAAAAATTTTAAATTTTCTAAAAAGTATCAGGATAACATGAACATCGCGGAGATATTCACTGAAATTCAAAAATTTTAAATTTTCTAAAAAGTATCAGGATAACATGAACATCGCGGAGGTATTCACTGAAATTCAAAAATTCGACATTTTCGAAAAAGTATCAGGAGAACAGGAGATCCGAGGAGGTATTCACTGAAATTTTCAAATCCAAATTTTTCGAAAAAGTATCAGGAGAATAGGAGATCCGAGGAACTATTCACTGAAATTGAAAAATTCGAAATTTTTGAAAAAGTATCACGGGAACATGAACATCGAGGAGGTATTCAATTATTAAACGATATTTCGAATGTGTAGCCATTTACAAAAAAAAATTGGAATTATTTTCATTAAAAAAAAATTATTAATGGCTGAGAATCGAAATTTTCAAATGCGAAATTTTAGAAAAAGTATCAGGAGAATAGGAGATCAGAGGAGGTATTCACTGAAATTGAATATCCGCGTACCAGCCAAGCACGCTGCCGATTACTCAACGCGCGCATTACAGTAACTTATTTCCATTAGGAGTATATGTTTAGAAAGAGTATCGTTTTCAAAAAATTCGAATTTTTTAATTTCATTGAATACCTCCTCGATTTTCAATTATTCACTTTTTAAACTATATTTCCATTGAGTAGCCATTTACAAAAAAAATGCGTAATATATTTCTAATGATTCGCGAATTTGATAGCTTCCCGCCATCTATCCGTGGCTCAGTCAATTACTCTAGCATAATGGCTTGAGAAATTATCAAGAAAGTGTCTCATCTCTTCAACGTTTACTCAATGGATCATCCAAATAAGGCGAAGGGCGGAACAAGTTTTGGTTCCTGAGCGTTCTGAGTGGTAAACCCCACTGTGCGGGGGGACAGGATAAATCGCACGAGTAATCAGCCGATAGCCGAAGCCCATCAAGTGACACATCAAGCACTCATCAACGTATCGTTAACAGAACAAGCCGAAGTTGAATAGTACTTACACTGAAAACAAAAAACGCCGATTAGACATGTCATATGAAACAAGTAAGTCCACCCTGCACTCTAAACAAATCTGAACCTAATTTATTTACCATTTTCATCAACATCCAGTAACAATATATATGAAAATCTTTTATCGTCTTTATCGTGCATCTGTCACGAATTCCTCTAACAATTATCCAGTATTTATCGGGCTGCTGCAAATCTCAGTGTATCTCACATGTAATAGTATAATTATTGGTCAATGCTCTTTGAAAATAAAATTTCCAAACGATTTATTATGATCTGGAACGATCGAGTGTGTCATTGACCCCTTGGAACGCTTCACGCGGCACCTGAGCCTGATTTTATTATTCTTGTTTTCATCTTGTGGTCTCATTGGAGCTCCGAAAATATCTCTATCTCCACGCAATAAATTTGGAGTAGTTCATGGAGTGCACTCGTTGATTTAACGAATTATTTCTGTTGAAATGGGATTCCTCGATAAAGAATCGATAGAGATAGAGATAATGAGTTCTCGGAAATATCTCGGTGATAATCAATCGAAATAAAAAAATTTAAAAAAAAACAGGAAGTGAGATTATTCTGCTCTCACAATACTCGACAATATTTCTTACGTCATTTGCATGTCATAAGCAACACGTTGAGCCTCAAAATAATTTCTATAAAACCAATTTGGATGTTTGCCCACTCGGCAAAAATGAATTCCTGGAAGTGGCATCAGTCATTCAACGAAATCTCCGTTTTCTTTGCTTTCGAATAGAAGTATTCAATTTTACGAACGTGAACATTCAAATTTTATGGATCAGGATGACTAATTCTGAGCTCAGAAAGTCATACCTCTCATTTGTTAACCATTTTCACATGTATGCATGCATTGATGTATGTAACCGGTAGTTTTTCGACAATAACTAAAATAATTATTAAAATCCACGTATTTGTGGCTTGAAATATACATTTATTATTATTTTCATCGTTTTTTAAATAAAGGATGATTGTATAATTAGTTATTGAAAGATGTGGAATTTGGAAAAAAGGACTAACGAATAAAAAATAACCTAATAATTCCGGTTTATTAAGAAATAATTCACTGGAGGAGAACTTGGAGAAATATATAAAATGGAATGAGTGATAATTGAGAAAAGAATATTGGAATGTTCTTCAAAGAGAATTTTTACGGATAGTACGAATTTTTCTGATTCATCTACAAATGTCAACTCAGTCGAACGCTTTGTAATTGGCAAAGAAAGAATAATACAGACACAATGAAGGTATTTACACTTGCTTTTTTCAGAATACATATTCGCTGCATTGCCTAGAACCCAGAGAGGGACTCCCCTTGTCCTTGGAGGCGACCCCAAGGGGAAGAGCTTCCTGTATACCAATGGAAATAGTGTTATCATCAGAAACATCGATGTGAGGGAGACTCAACCGGTCGTCTAAACTACTGACTTCTTATATGTATTTTTTTCGTTTATTTAGAATCCTGCAATTGCGGATATCTACACCGAGCACTCGTGCGCTGTAAACGTCGCTAAATACTCGCCCAGTGGATTTTACATAGCGTCTGGAGGTAATTCCGTAATAAATTCATGAACTACTATTTTGCCAATGAAAATGCAAAGCCAAACTGGTAAAATCTTTTGATTCAACTTGTCAAAAAGTTAAAAATTCTGCAGTCAATTGAAATTCAATTATTATTATTATTATT